CGAGGAGGAGGAAGAAGATTGGGGGGGAGGATGGGGGAGGGCATTTAGAATATGGCCTGACTTAGGCTTCTTCTGCCTATCGGGCCTTCTCGAGTCCCTCTTCCTTCAATTTTCGAGGGCTCCGACAGTGAGGTGAAGCGAAGGTGAAGGAGATGGGCGCCAAATATTTGGGGAAAGCTCAGCGAAGGTACTACTGAAGTGTTTCTCGAGCAATGACAATCGCAGAGGGAGAGCAACAGAACCGACGTCTTAGCCAGCTAAGCGTCATAGTTTGGTTTGCTCCGTCGAAGAGAGGAAGGAAAGAAGCAGTTGATGCGATCTCCTTCGTCTCATCTCAAGGCAGTAATTCTGGGGTGCTAACAAGCTTCCATCCCTCCTCCCTTCTTTGCTTCTTATCTTCCGGATCAGTGAGTTGCGCAAATGTCTTGGTGCCTGCATCGCCTGACCTGACTTGACTTGACTTGACTTGACCTGATCTTAAGCTGCTTGTGTGTGTTTGTGTGTGAGTGAGAGAGAGAGAGAGTTATTGTTTGCCTTGGCCCCCTCAGAGTACCTCGCTTAGGCTCAGCAGCGGAGAGGATCAAATCTCGTGGCCCGAGAAGAAAGTCCACTCAGCAACTCACTCGATCCATTCGAAGGGAGGACGAAAGGCTCCGCTGATAATTAATCACTTGCATCCATGATCACTTGCCGAGCGCGGGCCGAAGGAGTTAGCAGAAAGTACAAATATGGGCACCCTCTTATTCCTCTGACTGGTCATTGCTCGGAGCCAGGCTCCTTCTCAAAGAGAGCCGGTGCTCGATGCTCGCATGCCACCGTAGCTTTCTGCACGTATCGCACGGTCGAGCATCTATCTCTTTCTTGCCCGGACGAGTGTCAACGTTACCGTTCTCGTTCCTCGCATGCTCGCATCCAGTCTGCTGGTTCTCAAGACGGCCGTGGAAAGTTGCCTTTATTGTTCGTCTGCAAATTGTATCCATCTCCAAAGGAACGCTAGCCCCGCTCGGTCCGCTCTCCTCTCTAGAGTGCAAGGAACTTCCTTCCGAGATTTATCCTCCGCCGGCAGCAGCCCTTTCTCTTGGTGCCCTTTAAGAGAGAACTGTCATGTCAGGCCCAAAGAATTTGAGCCTTTTTCAACGGAATATGTATATTTATAAGCCTGCTCACGTCCTTGAACTCTTAGGAGGATGAAGCTAGGGAGGGTAGATTTCGGATGCCGAATCAATTTGGCATCGAAGGAGTGATGTAGAAGAGAGGAGAAAGGAGGTCTAAGAGACGACTAGAAGTAGAAGCCAATGGCGCATAACTTCTTCCTCTTGTATATTCGTCGGTTCAGTTTCCTCTCGTCGTCATGGGAGCAGCTGTGTGTGTGTGGTGAATTACGCCTCTCTCTCTCTCTCTCTCTCTCTCTCTCTCTCTCTCTCTCTCTCTCTCTCTCTCTCTCATCATCATCATCCCCTTCCCTCCTCTCCTGATCATTCCTGAAGGCTAAGCATGGACTGGTATTGGCCTGGACCCGGGTTTTCAAAAGCCCTCTCTTTCGATCACGACCTCCGCGAAAAGAATTGCTTTGTCAGTCGCTTTAAAGAGTTTGCCCCGTGTGGACCAAAGCAACTCCGTGACTCCTCGCGAATATTAGAAGTGAGCAAGGGAGGGAGGGATTGAAATGTACACAGAGAGCAGCGTTGCAGCAGCAGCGGGTGAAACGATTACGATTATGAGAGAAATGTATCGGAAGGGCCCAGCTATGCAAGGAAGGGCTTGCTTGACCGTGGTGGCCACTCGCTGGCTCACCCGCTGGCCCAACTATGGTGCTAGGTCATGGTACGTGCAGGATATGTTTAAGTGATTCCGTGGAAAGAAACGAGGAAAGAGTATCGTAATCATGATAATGTCTTTTCCTGGCTGCACTTCGTGTGGAACTCCAGGAAGCAGGCCGGCTCTCTTGTCGAGGAGAAACTGTGGTGCTCCCGGTGAGCAATCCTGCGAGAGTACGAGACTTGATGCAAATTTAGACACCGGTCTGACACCATACCTCCTGAAGCCGCGGGGGAATCTGAAAGCAGCAAGAAGATGACAGAAGAAGAAAGTGAATCCAGCCAGAAATGTGTTAGTCCAATGATCACGATTCCAGACAAACTGAACCCTTTGACCGGTCGACCTTTCCTTTCAACAACAAGAACGTCCTTGTGCCCCACGGCTATGCACCACGACGCCATGCTATGCTTGATCATGACGAGCGCTAACCTCTCGCCGCTACGCTACATAGCCATGATCAGCGCTCTAGCTTCTTCCTCCGCAACTTACTTCCCTTTTATCTCGTCGCCTTCAAGCAACGCATCAATCCATCCGACCACGCTTCTTTCACTCCGTCCATCGCCAGTGACAAAGACTTTGACGCCGGAGCTTCTCTACTCCCAATCCCCAACGAACGGGCCAGCCATCTCTGGAGCTTCAGAGTCTGTATTTGAAGTTTGTTTAGTTTTGAAGTTCTCCTATTCACGCAGAAGGTGCAAGAGTTATGATCGAGCTTTGGCCAACCTCCCATGTTGGACGAGTGTATTGATGTAGGGATCGAACCGCAATTAATCGAGCTTCGATGGTGCTGGGGAACTTGGAGAGATCTTTGTAGATTCCGTCGTTGGAATCTGTTGCTGGATGGTTAGCTGCATTTGATAGAAGTCAACTCTCTCACTCTCTTTCTCTTTCTCCCACTCTCTCTCTCTCTCTCTCTCTCTCTCTCTCTCTCTCTCATCCATCCACTCACTGCCCTTTTTAATTCACCATGAGCTTGTTACAAGTGACGAGAAGAGTTTGGGACTTCCATTGCGAGCTTGCAAAAACTCCTCGGCGCCTGCATTGAATCTGCAAATATGTTCTTCATCAGAGATTATACAGGATTATATTTTTTTTGAGAGCAGGAGGATTCTCTTCGGGCCAGAGGTCAAAGAAAGACGATTCTGAGCTGGATTGAACTGCGGGAGTGAAGCGTTTCACGTCCCTACTTCTCACCCGGAGCTCGTTCTCTCCACATGGTCGTCCGGTGCTCGCGCATCGGTGATGGTGATTCCTGTCCCAGCAAGATCGAAGGAGAAGCGGGTCGCGACTTCGACAGAACTGATTGCTCTCCATGTCAAAAGGTGCTCAGCAGGTCGTTGTTGTCTTGCGGGTTGTTTCTTGTGCATAAGATGTAGAAGTAATGGACAGCGTAGGCCCCACGTTTCCACTTTAGCAGGCCCAGTCGCAGGTTCTCATCATCTGGAGGCCGAGTTCCGTGATTAACTACTACAAACCGACCGACTGACCGTAAAACTAACTGCCGCCGCTTACGAACAAAATGGATTCGTAATTTGCTGGCAACTAGAATTACAGCAGCAGCATCACTGCCTGCCTGTCGCACACTTGAATTTCAAATAGATCTGTGTCAATGATTGGATTGCGCTTGTTGGGACCGAATTTCGAGCAGTTTCCATCTCTATCTTTGCATTATTGAATGTTACATGTCACGGTGCTGGAGTAAAAGCAAGTCCCACTTAGGAAAATATGGATGAAGCCTACAGACACAGTTCTCCTCGACAGGAGCTATGGAATAAATTGCGCTCTTCACCAGCAGGGTCAATGATTGAGTCTTTTGATATGTGGAAAGACAAATCTACCTTTCCTCCCTCCCTGCTCAGAATATTGCATACAAGTGCTCGGAGAATCAACTGCGTGAATTTGTTATGTACCCAGGAAAGACGAACCCCAAAAGAGGGCCCGATCTGTCAGTCAGGTACGCCGAATTTGAGACGAATCTTACATCCACTCGGTCACGCATAGACAGACGCAGTAGAGCACCGGAATTTCCCGACCGTGTGAAAACGCTGGAAAGCGACCAATCCTCCGTCCTCTTGATCTTAGACTCGGATTATATTTCGCTAACCCTCGAGTTCACAGCAAGTGCGACGAGGGGCCGCCTTCACGTTTTCCCACACGCACGAACGAACGCAGAGCAGGCAGGCAGGCAGGGTCAGATGAATATTATCCGTTCAGGCAGGCAGGCAGTCAGGCAGGCGGGCAGCAGAATGATAACATATGATCCAAGGTCCTCGACTTACCCCGAGTACGGTTCCTAGCGCTGTCTCGAGGGAGCGAGGTTTCGGAGGAGCGAGCCAATGGAGTGTCCCCAATGTAGTGGGGACGACGAGAAGAGAGGAGCCCTCGTGAGTCGGCTGATCATCGAGACAGTACAGAAGAGTACAGGAGAGGAGCGAGGGAGGGAGGGAGGGAGGGAGGGAGGGAGAAGGAAGTAGCTGCAGGAAAGTGGTGCCCTTGCTATTCTCCTATTCTCCTAGACTACGGAGGCACCGAAAGTTGGCCTGTGTGACGTACAGACTTCCACTTGTGGAAAGTCGCAACTCGGAAGGGACCAAGTCACCGAGGAGTCTTCGGAAGAATGATGGACGCCGATTGATCCTCCACTGGCTTCCCAGGCTTCACCGGAGCGCGACGAGGTGGCTGGATGGGAATCGGCATCTGTGAAACCAAAGTAGATCGCAGTCAACCTCCGCACTGATGACCTTCGCAAATGCCATCATTTTCTGGACGAGAGTCATCGAAAGTATAATGGATGATGTCCTTCCTGGCCTATTCTGGAAAAAGCCAGCTCGCGTCCAATGAATCGCATTTTATGGGGTCCGGACAGTCGAGTGGACGAAGCAAACGTCGACACTCGAGTGTTCCAACACCCGCCCCATGACGCCCTCACGACTTCCCTCCGTAGGCTTCGGCTCGTTCGGACGAAAGCTGCGCTAAGATTCAGTCAATTGTCAGTCTTAGTCGACGTTCGAGGGTTACCCCGTACCTCGACGGTGCTCTTCACTGACTCCGGTCGTCGATAAGGCTCTCTGGAGCTACAACCATCTTCTTGTGCCGGGCTTAGTGAGCCGAGGGATGGTTTTAGCAATCTGTCTTTTCCTACCCATCAGCCTCCTCAGTAGCTGGACGATGACCTCTCCGTGGAGCAGGTTTCACCCTTGCGCAGAATCCTCTCATTAATCGTGGACATGGCAGACTTCTTGCGCATTCAATCGAAGCACCATGAAATCGAAGAAGTGGCTATGGGACTCCGACGATTCAACAGACGGAACAAGAATTGGTCCAAGCAAGACGAGACTAACGAATGATGCAAATAAGCGTGAATGGCTCGTTTCGTGTAGACTTGGACTGATTATTGACAGAGGTTTCCTCGTTACACCGTTGACGGGGGCCGTCTATAGAGCTGAAAAGTTTTCTCACTAATACAGCCCATTAAAATTCTTTCTCCGATATCCACATATTTTACATCTAGCACTGGAGACTGGTGGGGAACGAGTGTCTGTGTGACGCTGAGCGTGTTCATGTCCCACAACCACACAGCATTCGTACCTTCGTCCCCACAAGCAAATGATGTTCTAAGGCTTATACCAGACATCGGTTCCACAATTATGGCAGACCGTGGCATGACACTGGTACTCTTATGACCAACCATCGTCTTTCCTCCTTCCCATCTCCACTCGCGTCGACCAACCTTTCCTCCTGCAGTAGATTCTGACAACGAGTCCTCAAATCGACTGCTAAAAACGCAATGCGAGGGATGGTCTTGTGTAGATGTCTGTGTAGAGGAAACAGGTTCTAGCGACCTACGTGCTGTAGTACAAGGCTGGCTTAGAAAGTCCGCCTGAATTGATGCATTCGCTGAAGAGGAAGCCTCACTGTGGGCCAAAGGTGACGGCCTGAACGATGCTACAGCCGTTTTGAGGCATGGCGCATAAGCAAGAGAAACACACAGTTTCTCTCTGTAATCTTCTGATATGCACTGCGGCCTGCAATGATTTACACCATAAACGTTCAATTTGCGACTTGCTTTCAATCGAGAGGGCCATGTGGGAGGGGAGAAAGAATTAGGAAAGCCCAGGCCAAAAGCGCCTAACCAGGTAGGAAACATGTACTTTGCTGCGTTAGGAAAGGGGAATTGTACTCAGGCGTTACGTCGCACCAAATACAAAAGTACGAAAAACAGTCTGAACAAACCTTTGAATCTCAGCTAAAGCAGCTGTCGCGCCCATATCCCAGAAGTAAGCACCACTGCTTGAAGCACTCAATATGCCTTTTCTCGTCTGACTTTGAACACTTTGGAGGGTATGCACGGGACGGGTGCTGGAGCCGTTGACTGAGGCGATGGGAGATGATGTCTGCCTCAAGTCGAATATGAGCAAAGAACCATTCTGTTACATCAGAGAAGTTGACATGGCTGTCAATCATGTAAGGTAAGAAGACTGATGCAAAGCATGTACATTAGGCAGAAATTTAAATCTCTGCTTTCGAACAACGACAAAATTGGAACTCTTGATGATTCTCCATACTCCACAGACGGATCTGTGGAAATGAGCTGATGAGAGTTGTGGACATTTAGCAGGTCAGCCTAAATGCAACATCTATACCCTTAGAAATCTATATGATCTCACCTGTAAGCCAGCGTATACTTGGTTTGGTACACTGGGATCCCAAGCGCATGACCAAGGAGCACTCTGCAAAGAAATAAGGGGAATGCCTGATCAGACATATGACACCAGCCTCTCATTACTCAGTTATGCAGTCGATAGGGGAGTCTCCAAGGTAGATTATCCAAGATCTCACAGTCTACTTATCTCGCCAGAGTTTACGCTTTGACATGGGAGAGAGCTGAACGGCACGACCAGGACAAATAAAGAGTGGTATAAGCCGTACTTATACTTGATATCGGCTTACACTTGTCCGTTTCACACACTGTTCTCGTTCCTTGATGGAAGTAAACATCATAATCATGCTTTCTTGAAAATTCTTGGAAATGAAGGTTTAGGATTTGAAGTGCGAACGAGGAAGGAAACGTCAGATGGCACTACCTGCAGTGCGTAGTTGATCACAATGTTGTTGCTCTCCAAGCTGGCGAAGACCACCATGATTAGATATCACATAACAACCTTAATCGCAGACAAGACACACAACAAGGTCCGCCGAAGGCAGGAACAAGTACGGTTTATCTATTCTTCTTCTGCAGGACGATGCAATTGTACGCCCGCAACTAAGATCGCACGGAGTTCAACTGACCTGTAAGTCATAAGAACTTCACAAAATTTAAGCTTAACCTGAGTATTTATAGTCATCCCACCTATAAAGAGAGAGTCGTTTTCCAAGAGAAGAAACTAAAGCAAGCTTTCCCGAGGGAGAGAAGCGAACGTCGCGAATAGCCCCAAGTCCAGGTGGAAGACTTAGATACTGCACTTCTGACAGAGTAATCAAGCTTATCTGCGTAGAAGCAACACATAACGATGATGAAGAAAGAGATAATTCAACCTCAGCCCTGCTGGGGTAAGGGGATGATAATATACATGGACTAAGAGTTCAAAGACGTCGTTTTGTAAAACTTTGAAAACTGTGATCACACCCACAACATGAACGTAGTAGTCTTGGATATACATATGTATGGTACGAAGATAACAAAATCAGATTACTATCAAGAGAACAGCAGGAGGGAAATGCCACTGCTAGTTGCATCCAATGAGGGGTCTTCAGACGAGTACACGTGTAAAATTGAAAAGCGTAGAAAACAAGGATGATATGATCAACATCTGTCAAAGATTTGTGTAGTAGATGTCAAACAACTTCGTAACTATAGCTTCAAGTCTATGCATATAATTCGACATAACTTTAGGCTAACTGAGTAGAGTAATGAACCTTACTCTGGTCAGTCCAAAAGTGCTGCCATGATTTGAAGCTTTGTTGGAGACTAATCCCATCTGGCTGTAAGCATCCATGTCGAAGACTTTCGCTCCAAGCAGATGTATTTCATCCTGGAAAGGCAAGAGTTCAAATAAGGATAAAATCTCACATAATGACTGATGCAATGGCTCTATGAACAGATTCACTTGCCTGTAGAATGAAATTCTCTCCAAGACCACGATTTCCAATGCTTGCAAGTGAGGAACTCGAACGGTGACCTCCAGTCTGCCCCTTCGGGTGTCCTCCATCGAGCCAATGTTCCTCATAACTTCTGACAGAGGACCGTCTTCTCTCGTTTCTCCCGTAAAATGTTTGGAGAGATGACTGTCGTCTTCTAGCATTCGCCAGGTCGTCGGATCTGTTCACTTCAACCTTCTGTAGAACACTTGGGGTTGTGGCCTGCTAGAAAACTTAGCGCTCAGTATTTAAGTGAGGTTTTGCAGACATCAAGACATCGATCCTGGACTGGGATCACTAAACGGCACACTGGAAACTAATACTCAAGATTTAGCATTATTTACATTTACAATCCAAAACACAGAAAACAATTCTGATGATAGGTCAGGCTCAAGGAAGACTGACCTCGGAACGAAGCAACCGATCCATCTCCATTTGTAGCTCAGCATTCTAGAAAGAATGACGAATGAACACGTCAAGCTGACAGTTTTCAACTGTACCTCATTAAAACAAGAAAGAATAAAAGCTGAAAATTTTACATAACCTATGTCCAAGTCAAGAGGCAGTATGACTTTATTTCAGCATTAGAGGGCTTTAGAGAAGGTTGAGCATCTGAATTTGATTACCATCCGCTTTAGCTCCTCATTTTCGGATTTCAAGCGCTTGACTTCCTGCGTTCTCAAAACGAGTGTTGAATTTAGTGGGCACAGAAGAACATATACGGGACATTATGAGGTATTTCCGGGCCCCTAGGGTCTGTCCGTTCGTTAATTCGACAGCTAGACTTTGATGATCATGACTATCGTCAGACATATCTTGAAAAATATCGTACTTCACCTGAGCCATTTCGTAGCCTTGTCCATCGGTGACGGCAATGTGAGGCACGTATATATTCCGTAGATCTTCCACTTTTGCTCTTTTATTGCAATGAGGACACTGTTAAGATTTACACCCCATCCGACAAACAGCGATAAACAACGATAATCAGACATTATCAGAACAAGTGCACATCCGATCGCCCAAAGCGATAGATGTGCGTATAATGACTCCTATAGCATTTCAGCATGGCTTTCACATTGTTGACAGTGGTGACGAAAGTTTACTATATATGTTTAGGAACTAGACTGATTTCTCATACAACGTCTGAACAAATATGTGATACGATAAACTATGCCTTGACAGCAAATAAGCGTGGTGACGCCAAACAGATTATCGTGAAAAGCGAACTCAAATATGATGTATAAACACAACTGACAAAAACAATTACGAGTATGACAAGAACTTCAGCTTCAGTCAACAGCTTCAATGCAATTATTGCTTAATTAAACAAAAGCGTTCCTGCTCTTCTAGTTTCTACGTAACTTTATTGCAGAGGACTGAATATATAAGTACCTTGCTAAGCCTTCTTCCACCTTGTTTGATCCATCGTTTGATGCATGACTTTCCGAACAGATGTCCACATGCAAGTGAGCTGCAAGAGAGGGTTGTTCAGTCACAACTCTGCCTAAGGCGCCCTATCTCATTAAATGCCCTTAGGCATCTAGTGAGATAAAACATTCCCCATGGATAAAATTACAGTAGAAAGACACATATGTTTTGGATGACAGAAAGACTGAAAGTCATACACATTTTGGTCCTTGCTGTGACTGATAATCACATCAATATAGTAGTCAATTTGGGCATGCACATGGTGATGTAATTACTTCCGTATACTACATGCTATGGTTGTTGGCCAGTGTAAGAAACCGACTGGGAGTACTGCTGACTAAGACATGGCAATACTACAACTTAATGGCTGGAATAGCTCTCCAGGTTATGACATGTTATCCCCCTCTAAGCGGTACTCCAAGACCAAAGCTGACTTCCATTTGCTCACTGCATACCCACAACGGCTTCAGCCATCCGGTTTGTAATTTTCTGAAGAAGGTGGAGAGAGAGTCTCTACCAGATTCGGTGCTCTCCCGTATTCGTCCAAGGTTCCATGCATATGGGGCAGGCCAGGCCGTCTGTGACACTTGGTTCTTGGGTTCGTGAACCTGATTGATCGGCAGTTTCGTCCGAATGCTTGTGATTCACCTTAACACTGTTACCTAATAGTACAGGTTCGTGTTGTACATCTGGCACTGATGCTTCTCTGGGCAAGTTCTCTTGCAGTAAACTTCCCCAATTGGCATTGATATTGATATTTTCTATAGCTCGTTGTCTTGCCGAATCTGACAGAGCGAGCCAATTATTTGCGGCCAGAACTATAGCACCTGCTTGCACATATATATTTGCTACATCTTCTGCAGTTACCTCCCTGGTTGACTCCAAAGCTCCGGCGGTATTCTCACCCATCAGTTGGGGAGACATGAGCTCTGCTTGAAAATGCACTTCTGTGTTCCTCGTATCGTGAGTAGCCTCCACACGTTCCTCACTGACAAGATGATCCGGGCTTCTAGAATAAGCCTCAATGGCTTGCACGATTCTGCCAGTACGTGTCAATATGTTGGCAACATCTCCTGCCGTGAGGTCTTCCTCGGTTGATTCCATGATTTCACCGGGACTCACAACCATTTGTGGGTTGAAACCAGACAAAGTCCTTCCCTCGAAAGGTGTCTGAGTATGTGTGGAATCAAGCCCGACGGCCACCTGGTGACTAATGACTACACGGTCTGAAGTTGCTGTAGGTGTCTCATTTGCTTCAAGGGAAATACCCGTCTGCAATGTGTTTGCTGCGACATCATCTACACTCAAGTTCTCATGTGAAGTCAGAGCTCTATCAGAGGTCTCATCCAGTCGCTGATCGGACCCAAAAACAAGCAGTCCTCCAGTGTCAGACGCCAAATCATTTTCACGCTGACTCATTTGAAAACAATCAGGTTCTTCAGTTATTTCACTAGTCCGTAGCAAGGTGCCGTCCTCATTTGGCGTAATTACTTCGTGATGATTACCATCGGTCACTTGTATAGAGTGAGAAGAACACCCTACTTCGTGATATGATTGAGGAACAATACGATCCTCCTCTACAATCACCTGACGACCTAGTTCCTCTCTGCATGCTGAATCGCCTTCTGCTGGAGTTAGCTGCGGAATAGATACCGAAGTCTCAGCCACCGGTCGTGAAGAGCAAGGCAACAATTCCGCAGCTCGGGCTTCCACTTCAGCTTGCTTCTGTTCTCCATGGACTATGAAATTGGGATCTGCAAATGGAGTCTGACAACAGTCGGAAGTCTGAATGGTTTCGGACGGCCGTTCTTGTGCTGAATTCACGAATTCTGAGCTTCCTAATCCTTCATCAGCTACAGGCCTCCTTGTCGGAGAACTTCTTGTCACCACAACTTCAGTATCTACTAGGCTGGAGCAGCGACGAGTTTCAACAAAAGGATACTCAGCATGAGAGCTAGAGGCCAATGTTTCTCCATTTCCCCCAATTCTCCGGGACAGCACATTGTTCGAGCAGCTATTTGCTTCTATTATGCAAGAAGACCACCGTGCTGAGTCCTCCCCAAGTTGTGAAATCAGCTGGAGGTTGCTACATGGAGCTCCTGGGATGGTACTGCCAGCACTATGCGATGATGGAGCGCCATCGGTTTGAACATCACCGATACGTTGCTCCAATTCTTCACAACGATTAGACGAGACTCCAGGAACTTCTTGATTCGAGTGAGAAGTCGGGGGAACCTGCTCTTTGTCAACGGACCCTGCAATTGACTGATGTTCCGAGGGAGATTCAATCTGATCAGGTGTAGCGCGAAGATCCAACGACTCCTGAAAGAAAGTCTGTCAGTTCATATTCACGAAACGAAAAACAGGCCCGTACAACAAGAATGTAGGATCGATAACACGGTTCGACGTCGAATTGATTCAACTTAACACGTCATTTTAACACCTCGCGTAATGAAGAGACGATCTCGATGTTCTCAGACTCCACATTCCAACAAGTTTACGTCGCAAGTATGCTATCATGCCGTGTGCATCTAGAGGTGTGGTTTGTGCGGGGCGGTTTGGCTAGTGACGTGCTGATGCATTCGACTGTTCAGACAATGCTCATTTGCTCTCGTGCGATTACACGAGAACAAATGAAGGTACCCGGCCGTACAACTGCATTACCATGATCGCGTTATGAAACTATACAATTGCCATTCCGATAAGATCAGTTAGAGAGAGAGAGAAGATAGAGAGAGAGCTGACCAAAGGAGTTCTCTTGCTGCTGCACGCTTGGCGATTCCGGGACAGGCGCAGACGCTTCGAAGGAGGTGGCCCGGCCCCGGATGAACAAGCTTCAATCCGCGTCATTGAGTGGGCCTCACCATTGCATTCATTCCCTTCCGATACCTTTGCCTCCCTTCCGCTCAGGTCGCCCCCAGACCAAGACGCAACATCCCTCGCCCTCTGTCCGAAATCGTCTTCTCGTGCCTCGAAACCATCAGAAATGGAAAGAACGAACGAACATTCATTGCCATCGATGCACTGGACAGCAATTCCGGCGTCGTTGCACCGGAGCTGAAGCACAAGCGTACACACACACACACACAGGAAGAAGACAGAGTCAGAGATTTTTGAAAAAGAGACGAGAGGGAAGGGAGGAAGGAAGGAATAGGCGACAAAGGACCTCCAGAACGGCCTCTAAACAATCTGGCGGCGAATCGCGCCTTGCTGCCGCTGTGCTGCTATAATACTACCCTAAATGAAGACCGACGCTCATGCCCGCAGACGTCGGCGAAACAGAAGGCGCTACCACCGCGCTCCTCTGCTCCGGAGCGAGGGTTCTGGGTTCTGCAACGGGACTCGGGCTGGCCCTCTCGATTCTTCTTGCGCCCATCGCGTGCCGTCTCCGCGCACATGGTCGACTCCCCGCAGGGTTTCACGGATTCCGCTCGCTCCATCGAGCTGTGAATCGCCCGGTCGCGCTCATGAGAAGAATGTCTTCGGTTTCCAGATTGAAGTCCTTTGCCGGCTCGGCGACCTTCACGGAAGCGGACAAGGAGGTGTGATTCAAAAATAATTTTATTTACCAGGTTTCTGCAACTCGATGGGCGCATGCTGTTTTGATATATCTGTGAGCGATAAGCTTCGTTTAGGCTTGTCTCTGCCTGCTGATTATCATGTCTTCACACATTGCAAGGACAGTGTCAAGTGTTAGTATTGAGGAATCTCTTATGTGCGAGCTTGACTGTCACTCGAAGAAACAGTTTTGTCTCCTGTAGTAGCGGGTGCAGATTGAAAAGCTGCGCATAGGTGGCTTTTTTTGTGGGTGGAGAGACCGATGTAGAAACGCAGCCCTAGTAACGATTGTCTAGAAAATGTGTAGCATCTTTCGTCGACTTCGAGTGATCTCAAGACTACGTTGCTTAAACGTAAAATTCGATTTGACTCTCGATTCTCTGCAGATTCTTATCAAGATTGTGAAGCACGCTCAATGGCAAGGGGTCAGTGGAACAAAAGGCCCCTGGAAGAATTTTTTGGCTACTGTTGATAGAGGCCTATCCCATAATCACGATCCTGCCAAGCGACCCTGGCAGGTCCTGGCAAATTTTGTCGAGACGTGGAAAGACGAGAAAGACATCGAGGTATCACAACAGTTCTCGCTGACGAACTTTCTGACTTGTACTAGAGAGTGTTGCAATCGGAGATAGGGATAGTCTGTGCAAGTTGTACACTCTTATAATAATTTGGCTTGATTATGCTCTCCCACCTTTCCTTCTAGGTAGTGATCTTTTTTCCGCCTTCTCTGTATGTATGTAGTGGATAGACCAATGAATTCAATTTTGATATACGCAGCAGATTCATACTCTCTCAATATTTCTCTACGTGCTTGCCTCTACTTCGGCTGCTGTACCAACTTTTGTAGAACTCAAGACCCAGTCTGTGTAGTGATGAAAACACTACTTTGCAAGATCTGTGTCAAAGGAGATATCCAAATTTCTAAGTGGACTGTCTCTTAGTGAGTTCTTTCTCTTTTCAACAACTTCTCTTTGCAGATTATCAAGCGGGCTCGAGAGTATATAAATTACAACCAAACAATGGCTTATATTGAGGCAACAGAGCCATGGCCGGATGTTCCTGAAGAGGTGAATGCCAAAGTTTCTAGATATCTTTGCTGTACGGTCTACAGCCATGTTGCTGCGATTTTAGTTATCGTGCTGAGATTGTTGAGCTGTATATATTAACCCGGCTGAGAAAACGTTTTGCCAGCACAGAAATTTGTACACCTGACTAGGCAGCATCCTTTATTCTCCAGGGACTACAATTTTCCCTCATTCCACGAGGTAAAGACAAATGTCATCTCCGCTCTTACAATCATGCATGTACCTTTCCTGATCTCAAGTGACTGGTGGAATTGATAGTGAGTGAAATTCAAGTTGGAGTACCGTTTTTGGTTTGTCTTTTTGCCCTTTTCCTGTCGTGTATAACAGGAAGCTGTTACAATATTGTAGGGCTGGGTACGTTCAGATATTGTGAAAGCAGAAGATTTGAGCAGTTCTCCAAAACTACTTGCTATGGACTGTGAAATGGTGCTTTGTGATGATGGGACTTCGCAAGTTGTCCGTGTCTGTGTCGTTGACCGAGACCTTGAGGTGAGGATTGTTTATATGCTCTTACATGACCTAAGGACCCAGTTATTATCAGTTGTGTTCTAAAAGTCGGTTTCAATTTCAATTGCTGATTTCAAACTCAATCAGCATGGATCCAAAGCATATGCTGCTAAGGTTTGATTGCTAACCGTGCATGTAGTGCAACACAGACAATAATTGATACGCTCGTCCAGCCTAGCAAAAAGGTCAAGGAGTACAAAAGCCATATTACAGGTGTTACAGCTGATGATCTGAAGTCTGTGACAGTAACACAATCTGACATTCAGGTATAACTTGTTTTTTCTGCTCATTTTGCGAGTGATATCTTGTGTTATTGAGTTGTTAACGCTGACGCCTGCGTTAGGTTCTATTTTTTTGTTGATAATGGGTGGAAGATGATCATTGTGTTTTGACGTATTTAACTTAGTGAATATGTGTCACAGACAGTTTGATCTACTTAAAAAATCGTTCGCCACTTGCTTCTCAATGATTTGGAATTCCATTCTGACACTTTCGGAATCTACTTTTTACCTCATGGACAGACACAAGTGAAAAGAAAGCTTTCACCCGGGTCCATTGTTATTGGTCACAGCGTGCACAACGATTTGAGAGGTAAGTCTTCATTTCAGTAACTTCAAGAACAAGATTTGCCACTTATTGAGCATCAGATGGAGGATTAAGAGGGGCATGTGGTTTCGAATGGATTTACTGCCTATAGCTTATGGCCTTACTTTCTCGACAACTTTGTTCAAATTACGGTCTGTCAACAGTGTAGAGTTATTCAGAAATGATTTAGAGGTAGCTCTTGCTGCTCCTAGTTCTTTGTATCCGGAGGTTTGTTCTCCGTCTATCGCCATCAGCACTGCTCAGCCAGGGTCTGTTGTCTTCAGGATTGACATGCACTTTTTATAAGTTCTTTTTATCAACTTTGTGGATAGAGGAACAAGGCAGCAATTCTTTCTCTAGCGGTGGAAGGTTTTTATGTTCAGATTGTGTAATCTCTTTTTCAAGATTTTATTCAGATGAGTTTCCATTGTCGTTCATGACGCAGCATTGCACATCGATCACAGAAGGGTGATAGATACGGCATACCTCTTTCCGATACAGAACCGTGCACGAATTTGGAGTCCTCCTCTGAGAGAACTGTGCAAGGTACGTCATGGCTTGATGTTCATGATTTTCCACTACATCGTCGCTTGTAAAGGTCCTATACTTCTGACGAAGATATACCTTTACCAACTCACCCTATGATATGTTTATGTTTATAACACTTGTTCAACTTCTTGGTACAGAATTACCTTTATAGTTTTTTCTTACCTTTTCAGAGTCTATCAACCTATCCATGGGATGATAAGGATGTAGGAGGGAGAAACGAGCTAACTTAGCTACCAAACATTTTTCCTTAATTTTTCCATGCCTGCTTTCGGCAAGTATTCAAACTCATGACCACCACACCATGACGCTCATAAGGTCGCTTGTATCGTGCGCTATGTTCGTGGAAATCAGTTGAACTAAATTCGTGTTTGTTGCAGACATTGTAAGTGTGCATATAGTCTTTTCCTTACACACTTATATTTTACACATGTTCTTTTTGCACACGTCTTTGTCAGCTGCCGTTCTGCATACTGCGTCTTGCGACCATGAGATCTCTTGCAGGTTTTATTTTTATCGCCATTTTTCTATTAATAATCATCTCATTCATTCCTATTCCTACTGTAGTGTTAGCGTTCCTGTGACTTTCCCCTGAGGTCGGTCTTTATTTAGCCTTGTCCGAATCAAACTTTCTGTGCCGTTGTAGGCTCTTCTTTTCACTGACAGCTAGCGAAACGTGACAACAAGGGCCTTGAATACTGCCAGCCCCTTGTTGGGTGATTGAATAATGTATTGTTGTACACAGTGGCTTTTGAACGCACAATACATATTCATAGTTTAATAATGTTTACAAAATCTTGAAAAGCGTATTTGAACGTGTATATGGTCGGTTTGTCATGTCAGCGCAGTACTGTTGACTCTCTCAACTTCACCATTTATATGAACAGTATGATCAAATACGTTCAAACATTCTCTACATATCAGCACACATATTTACATGGATCACACATATCTCGTTAGTAGTGGACTGCACACGGTTTACAGTTCTGCAAGCGAGCTAGATTTAAGATCATATTGAGAACAGATCCCTTGCAAATGATGCTCTGATAGCCTCAGAAAAAGTATAAACATATTACTTGTGAGACAACAGAGCCGCTAATCCATAACGGCCTCATGAGAAATAGAAATAGGAGATGCATGGACTACAAATGGGAAATATACACAAATCAGAAGACTCTGAGACTTGTGTAGATGCTGGTCTTGTTTCAAGTGTAAATATTTCATTACTGAAAAATATGGCCTCCGTGGTTGCTGACAAATTTTGTCTTTGTTTCAGATTGTTTTGGGTTATGACTTCAGAGACGACAGTAAGCCTCATGATTGCCTTGAGGATGCCAAAATTCCGATGAAGCTTGTGCTCAACTGTATTGAACACGGCCTATCACCGATTAGTATACCCGATGAGGTAAGGTATCAAATCCAGCTTGCTTGCACCGCAACTTTTAACTTCGGCAAAAAGGTTTTGAAAAACTTCAGGCTATGGCCTGGGTTGGGTGATGATCCACATGTCTATGATCTTTGTTTATGATGTATTTTTGTCATACCCAAAGTGCGCTCCGTATATTTCTAACGAAATAGTCGTTTCCGGTGGTGTTTTGTTTGGATCAAGACCAGATAAATCTTGTGTTAATTGTTTTCTTGAATTTTTAGGTTGATGAGGCGGTCCTTTCGAAGCTGCTGATTCACAGAGTGCCCAAGGAAGTCAATTATGAAAGTTTAAAGTTAATATTTCCAAGACGTATCTCCTTTGAATTTCAGGTAGGTTCCTGAAATAAGAACGTGAAAGCTGTAATCGGTACGATGTTTGTGGAACTTTCTCTTTCTGCGTCATATTATACCTTATGATTACTGTTGACACCTTCAATTTTATTCCACCAACTTGAGATGCTTCGGCCCTTGCGTGCTAAGCCCCTGCGGTCGATAATACACTATGGTGTATATTCTACCATCTTTTCTTGTTTTAGTGCTGACTTGATAGAATGTGGTACAAATTTGAGAATCTACAATCTATTAAAATACCTTATGTCACTGAATGTTTTTAACGCCTCACAAACTTCAGGTTCCAGGTAGAATGTAGCAAGGTAACTCCAAATAATGAGGAAGAAAACAGTGACATTATAGTGCAAAAATGTACTTGTCACTAATGTGGAAAAGTGATCTTGATGCTTTGCTGCGGTTTTGTACGAAGAGAGGATAAAGTAACCTAAACTTCCTAAAGTTCTGCAATCAATCTTTATTTTCATTTATGTTGAATTTGAGAAGAGTACAGGTTTCCATTCGTATTCCAAACTACTGTCCAAGAAGTATCTACCAAAGTTTACCTCATAGGGTTAACGAAGTTAATTTTCGTACCCTAGACGCAGAGTTAATGGACATTGGGTCAAGGTTTTAAACCGTTTAATGTTGCGTGTCGTCGCTCGTGGTGTACGAAGTAAGCTAGCCTGATGTTGTTTTATACCGTGACTGCAGGAAATCGAGAAGGATGGCATGAACGGGAACGGGACGTCGAAGTCAAGGTTTTATTCTACATACGCTGTGTTCGCTTCGAAGGAGGTCGCTAACAAAGTTTTCGACCAGTTAAAGGGAGTTGCTGTCGAAGTAAGAATGAGGCCTTCTTTTCTATGAATTGAGATTTTGGTCTGTCGAATCCGGTAAACGACGAGGTAGTTGCAAACTGATTTTATGTAGTCTTCATCCATCAGGCCTTGGTGGGCTAGTTTTTTCCCTTCCTTTTTCGTTGCAGTCGCTGACCGGGAGATGAATGTGTATTTTGCATGTGTAAAACATTCAGGACATTACAGGGCGACTCATGAAGAATGTTGCTGTACGCAGTAGGTTTCAGCATAGAAACGCTACGAGAATCGAAGTAGCCGTCCGTAAGATGTCGAATAATCGAAACAATGTGGAAAAGCCCTTGAACGGAAGTACAACAAACGTAGCGACGAAATGGTATACGGTACCAGAGACAGTGAAACCTTTGGACGTTGGTCTGAGTTCTGGAGTGGGCGAGGAGGTACTTAGCCTTACAAGGCCAAGGATTGAGGATGTTGAGGAGCACAATGTAACTTCAGCAGCCAAGAACTTGAAGAGGAAAAAACGGAAGTCTCATGCTAGCACCTCGACTTCGGGTGAAGACGAGTCGAAAGAAGTTGCCGAGGAAGTAGACACCGTGGTGCACAAAAACGTTTACGATGTTCTTTCGAGTGAAATCTCACCGATTGCTCATCAGAATGATGAGCATACACGTCGGAAGAAGAGAAAAATGAGCAAGTCTACGAAATAAAGACATAGATTAAAGCTTATCTAACGCGCAACAAAATGATCTTGGAATTCTTGTTGGCTCTTCCTTGTTTGGATCTTCCTGTGCCGCAGCTTGAATATACGTCGGACGAGAATTCAAAAACGAGATGGGAAGTAGTGGAAGTATTGGGTCATCTGTCCTCCACACGTTCGTCTAGTTTGTTTTGTTGCTTACGCACTACATGTAACCAAATAATTCTACGTGGCCGAACTAAATTTCTGCGACAGAAAAACGTGACTTCATCCCTCTTCATCTCCGTGAAGAACGAAAGTGAGAATGCGTGAATAGAAGAAAAGTATTTCCCCAATATTTGCTGCAACAAACGGAGCACACAGAAATGTTCTACATTCATCGTGCACGTAGTATCCGGGATAACGGTTTTGTCCATGAGGGCGTCCAAAAGTGGAAGGCCGAGACGCGACTCAAACCGAACGGAATTAGAGGGGGACGAGAGAAAAAGGCCTAGTCCTCTACGTCGCTTGAGCAAAAGTGAAGCAGCATACAATCAACGGTGTCAAATGTCAAGCTGTAGATAAAACTCAGAAGTCTGCACTGCTGTTGGTTGTATGGAAACAAATTTCAGTCGTGGTGGCTTCAGTAATGAATATTAAGACAATTTTATCTTAACTCAGCATCCAAGGTACGTACTTATTCTCCACAGGCCGCCCTCGCTCTTTTATTATCGTCGTGGTTGGATGCGTACAACTCGTAGAGATAGTTAGACGTAGAGTGTACTGGCATGTAGTCCAGGTACTGATGCGGATTTTAGACGTACCGTAAATGTTGTTTCCCTGATTGAATTGAAGAGAGTTTACGACGATTGTAACGTATTAATAAAAAATGATGGTCACAGACGTAATATGTCAAGTAAGGAGGTATTTAAAAAAATAAAAAGTATATACATAAGTATATTAATATATAATTATATATATATATATTGTTCTTTCATCTTGCATTGATCTGTTTGTTACTTTTTTTTTTATGTATTCAGTTTTTCTCTATGTTATTTTTCTACGGATTATTTTGAAGAAAAAGATTTTTCGTGCACATATTATATTTGCCGCTGTTGTCACAGCGCATTTGGCAGAGTGTAACTTTCCAGTATCAATAAAGTTTTCAATTATATCTAGAAAGTTAAGTGAAAAATTATCATTTTGGCACACTCTGCATTGTAAAGAATAATTCTGCTAGCATCAATATGACAAATTGGATAACACAGTCTCAGGTTTGTCCGGAGAACATTTCCATTCTATCAGTCAAATATGTTTGCAAGCTACAGAAGGATTTCAAGAACGAAAACGTTCAATTTTTTACGTCGACAATCATACAGACTTTATTGCGTAAATACTGGCATTGCCAGAGCAAAAGAAGGACAACCCGTTGCAGAATGAATCAAGGGTACACAGCAGAAACTAAAATATATACTTGTGGAGTTGGAAAAGGCTTTGGAGCAGGTAATTTGTCATGTTGACAATCTGTACAAAGTCAGACATCGTGTGGATGCTGAACTTGGAAACTCTCGTTTCTAAATGTACAGTAGCTGCTGTAGAATTCCCCGTTTTCAGCATAAATCATGCTGAGCATATGATATCGCATTCGCAGCATTCTAACCGGTCTTCATAGGAATCCTCTTCACCCCACAAGCACGTACAAGGCGTAGATGATTCCGGGAATGTAACCCAGGATCGTCAACAGCAGACAAATCCAGAACTCCGACTGCTCAAGTCAACAGCAAGTAATCAGACACGTCCCAGCATCCAATCAGAATCAGAATGAACATGCAGGAACCGAGTTTTCTACAAACAGCGTGCATAGATTTAAAAAGCTCTCACTGCATCATACCGCGCAGCCAAAGGCGAGGAACACTCCCAGGGGAGGTAGAAGGATGGCAAGCAGCACATCGATAAACGACCCGCTCCTCACTCTCTCGTGAGCCATTTTAGCACTCTCTGTTTGCCATCACGTCACGGCACTCGGATCAGAACACACATGCAATTACAAACGAAATTCTCACGTACATTGGCTTGCTAGTCTCAGAGTCAGTATCCACCATAAAATGCTTACCAATGTCCTGAAGCTAGAAATTGAAATCGGCCACAAGTGCTGGGTGTATACGTTCAAAATTTAGCTTCGATTGCTGTAGGACAATGTATGAATTCACGGATCAAGCCAAGGCACAGATGTCTACGATAACTGAGTGATCAGCTCAGCAGGGAGCCTTCAGTTTTAATCACGCCTGAGCGATCCCGAGACACAGGTGCCTTGTGACAACTGGCGCTGGTGCATTGACTGTCACTGTCATATTGCGTGTCACAAGGCGATTGACGACCGACGATTGCAGAGTTTCCACGTAAAGCTAACGCGGACAGCTGGCATGCGTCGGCGGTTTCTAAGAGTACGTGGCTGAGACTCGTTGGAATGTCGTTTGTTTGGACATAGTCATCCCGGCCTCAGGTAAGCCCCGTCACACAGTAGCACCTTCTATTGGAGCTAAAGAGGCTTTGGATGACTTGTACATGCGATCAGAGTCTGTTGTATGCACTGCAGATGGCTTTCTTCCTGCTTAAATCACGCTGCGAATTGTTCTCCCGTGATTGGCGATTTCGGCTCTCCAAGAGGTCAAAGTTGGGTCATTGGCCAATCTTCTGAACCTTACCTTGCGTGGACCGGACACAACTCAACGCTAATGACTGATACCAGCTACGTGTAATGACACGTACTGGTATCAGAGGGAGGGAGTTCGCTAGCGGGGAGCGAGATCGAGAGAGGAGAGTGAGTTACGGCAGGTATTATTCCTTCAAGTACAGTATTGCATGGATATATCTTGCCACATGGAGAGTGAAATTTGTTTGCTAAATTCCAATCTCTCCCTCCAATTGGTAGCTACAGTAAACATTTTCTTAAATCCCCATATTTTCTTCAAAAAAAATTGGATGAATATTTTATTACCGATTCAATATATAAAGTTGAATATAAATTTTAAAACCCAAGAAACTTTGAATTTCTCCTTTGGTATTTCTAAAGCAGAGATTATAATTTTTGTATTATGACCAACTTAAATCCACTAGAATAGTCTGTGTTTGTGTTCAGTAAACGTACCATGTAATTCAAAAAATGTGAATTTTTGGGTAGTTTGATCTACTTTCTGATCTCTCCCACAAATTTAATCTTTGTTCAACTTCAATTTTCAAATTTTATTCTCATGCAATCCACATTGACGGACAATATTGCGCATTGAAAGCAGATTTTGCTATTCTGACAATACTATTATTCCCATTCGCTGTTAGTCTTTAAACACTAGTCTTAGCTCTATGCTTAACAGATCATTGTAAGCTCATTTTGCTTAATAAAACACTATTCAAAGATTGATTAGTTGAGTTTGATGAAGGATTTGAGTTTTGCTCATAAAAACCTCACGCTACGGCCACGTCGTGTCTATTCAATTTTGACTTTGCAGACTCTTTGTGCAATCTGGGCAAGTTAATGTTGCTATCTCTACTTCTACGTCTCCAAGAACCAAAGCTTCACTTCCTTCATTAGTCAAAGCTCAACGTAAACTTGCTACACCGTCAGCTAGGTCAATGCCATATGCTCCTCTAGTCAAGCATTTGCCTTCTTCATACATAAAAAATTCTTTAGACTTCTTGTTTTTTGATTGCCAATTGAGGTACATAGAATAAGTTTCATGATACTTTCTTGTTGTGAATCACTCCACCTACAAATGTATGTAATGGATACAATATCATACATTATTTGGAAAATGTAATGGTTCCATCAGCATTATAAACATTTCAATCATGATTCTGACATGTGTGGGTTTTCTCTTGCTTTCACTTGAAGTATTAATACTTTTATAGACAAGTAGCACTTCAACATTCTTCTTCTTCCGATTTGGCTCAAGATTGATATGTGTGTTGGCCACTGTCTTTTGTTGGACTTTCTAACTTAGGCTGCAAATTCAAATGATTGAATGATAACATCTAATTTGCCTAACAAAATATGATTCACTTTGAATCTTTAGCTCTTTTGAGCTTCACTTTATACAATAGATTTTGAACTCAAGTTGTTGTTGATGACTAGTGTGCATCCAAATTTGTTATACCCAAATGTATTTTTATACTTCAATTTTCCATAGTCATATGCCATATAATTCAGGTGGGGTTCTTAGATTCGTGACAATCAATATTAATGAGAAAAAACGAACTATGAAATTTTGTATCAATATTACATTAGTATCTATCCAAAATTCAATTTAAACAATGTAGGTTTTAAATTGTTCTAATTGAACATTGTGTATTACATTGTAGGCACTGACGTGGTAACTACAATGTAGGTATTACATCAGTACTTGAGTTGTTTGAGCAATAATGATGTGAGATTAATTTATAGACTTAATTACTAGTATGACCTTGTATTGGTCAACAGAGAAATATCTTGACAATATATATTACTGTCACATTCTTAGAAATCTCTTTTGACTACTCAAACAATGTATGCAAAAGATGGATGAAAGAAGTGCTCAATGTCTTATATTTGGTCATATGACAATGTTACGATAGGAGATAATACAAAATTCTTGAAACATGATAAGAGTTAATTGCGATAACATAATCATTAGTTATCATTGCATATGTTGTGACAACATATAGAGAAAGAGATTTGATTCAAAGCAGATGTCAAAAAATTCTTCAGGCTAAGTTAACGGTAATATTATAATAACATATGTGTTTGTTGTTGTGATGATGTCAATTAAGAACAGTTTACATTACAATTATGAAGATAGATGCATGTATAATGATTATTGATCTATCAACCAACATATCGATATGTCATGTTTCAAAAAATCCAAGATGGCACTGTTTTTATTGCTGGTTAGAGAGAATTAGTGAAAACCGTTATTGTGCAAAGTGTGTACACTGTGTAGATGTGCTTGATGATAAATTCCAAAAATGGACTATCATATACTACATCGCTACATGCTAGATTTTGTAAATAGAGTTGAATACATGTGTATTGTATTGTGATTTTCAAAGAGAATACGCATTGTAACACAATCTTCAATTACATTGCAACTGGATTTGAGTTAGTGAAAATGTTTTACTCAAGACATCATCATCAGCGTTTGACTAAATTCTTTAGTTCTTCAATGAGTGTATATGTACAAGAGAATCATTATTTGCAGTTTGTAGACTTTTTGATCACATCCAATACCGTTTTCATTGTATGTTGCAACAAAAAATTTGCTATTTTCATCCGTTGTATCAACTTCAGTCACAATCTTTCCTTCGGAAGAGTGATCTAGTACCAACTGTTACAAAAATGATATAGGAAAAGTCTATTGGAGTTAGGACAATAGTTGAAGCATGTCAGAGATGTGAAGATAATTATAGACAGATGGAAGTATGTCTCGAATTGGAAGTAATTACGCCGTGATTGATATTACTAGTCTAGACCAATGTATTCTACACATTGTGCATTTTATAGGACAATCAACCGCAAATGCATTGCAGCAACTCGTGAAAACATCAACTAACAAAAGTATTATTTCATTGACAGCAATTGTTTCTTTTCATGATTAGATTGAAATAGAATCTAACAAGCTCAAATTTGAATAATATTTTCTTGCGTTGTGATATTTATCAATTCAATCTGATCATGTGTCATCTCATGATATTATGAAGCAGGTTTTCAAAATAAACTGCAATCGCGAATGCATTGCAGCAATGATTGAGAATGTGCACTAACAAAGGTATTCTTTCATCAACAGTAGTTATGGCTTTTGTATCAAATAACCCAACTACCATGGTTAGATTGAAAAATAATCTAACAAGCTCAAATCCAAAAATTATTTCCTTGAATTGTGCTTTTAATGAACTCAATCTAATTTTGAAGTATGTGTCATTGCATGATATTATGAATTAGGTTTTTAAAATAAACTACAAGTTGATTAATTTTTTTTCAATTTTTTGCTATTGGACAATATATTTTAAGATCTAGGATGGAAAAAATACCATTAGTAAGTTTATGTCATGCTTCGGCAAAACACGTTGATATTCAATTGTACTTGTATGTCTATGTGTTGCGTCCTATCACAAAGGATTTCAACATTGCATCAATAAATCAAATATAGCCAGCAAAATTCCCATGGAAAATAATATTTTCAAGTTGATGGAGTATGATTAACGTTTTGCAATTAACAATGAAATTTGTATACTTATTAAACTCATTGTTTATAGTATAGTTTGTCTTGAGCAAAATTCAACCACATTAGATCATGTTTTTGCCAAACTCAACAAATTGTACACAATTGTAAAAGACATCAAGATTAACTAGAACGGTAGCAATTTCAAGGTTCATATTATCAAGATCATTCAAAAAATAGTTTTTGAATTTGATTATCCGATCTATTTTCAGCTTTAATACTCAATATCAATCGGTTGTCACACTTCATAAAAGAGACACACAACAACATTTGAAAATATTTTGCAATTCTTACTAAAGTATGAAGGTCATCAAGACGTATACAATATCATTGTTAGTGAATTTTAACGATTACATCATTCTGCATGAAACTTCCACAAAGAATCAAATTGTTGGTGCAAATGTTTTGCGTGTCTTTGTGACAAAAATATTTTCTATTGTTTTTCATAATGCCGCAATGTAGAGATTGTTTTCATAGTTTTGAATGTATCAAAGACAATAATTTATAATCGTATGTCGCGTGAAGATAGTTCACATTGATAGATTAAACTTAATTCAAAATCAAGAAGATTAAACTTAATTCAGAAGTCTTAAACTTAATTCAAAATCAAATTCTACTTTTTTTTTTTCTAGAGCAAGAAAATTATTTTAATATAGTACTTGAAAAATTCAATATAATATCAATCAATGAATTGATTTTGAAAGATTTAAATTTTATTTATGAGTATTATAATAATTTTCATCAAAATTTTGACATTTACTTTAATTTTATTATATATAAAAATATTATTTTCACATATCAATAAAACAACAATGTAAATTGATAAAAAAATTGTTAAATGATAAAAATTGTAATATATACGATTTGATATCTTTAAAATGTTATATAAAATGTTGATTTTATATAAATTCGAAATTTATTTACAGTACTTTTTAGAAAAATATTTCGTATATATAACCTTTAAACACTCGAGAAAATTCCAATCCTACATTGAAGGGTATGAAAAACTGAGGAGTAAAGGTGCAAGATGTGTATGCCTCGAGAAAATTCTTTGTCCTCCGATCCTAAAGGGAGGAGAAAGGTGCAGCGGCCGGCACCGCGTGTACCGGAAATGGTTTCACTTTGCCCCGGAAACTGAATAGGAAACGTAGCAGCGATGGAGGGAGGCAGAATTTCTTCGTGCTTGATGCAGAAGGGAGATGCGGAAGGCCAAAATCCGTCTTGGCTACTCTTACATCGCTCGAGTCGCTCGTCTTGCTTACACGGAATTTCAATATATTCAAAATGATTCATGTTTTAGAGGAATGCCAACTTCCATGATGATGTGAGCTTTCGTTGGCGGGAGAGACTTCGCGCATAACAGATCGAGCAAGCCTCAAGAATGATCCCACTTTAACTCGGGTTGGACTACTGTTGGAGTTGGATGAAATGGAAAGACTGGTGCGGAAATATGAGCAGAGATTTCGCAGAGTCAAGGAAGAAATGAGCACCTGGGATGCGCTTCACGGTCGACTTGTCAAGCAGTATAGTAATGCTGCAGCAATTCTGGACAGGCTTCCGGTAAGTGCACACATCTTTCAACATCTGTCATGAGAGAAGAATGCTCGAGTTCTCAGAGGCCCTTTAGAGGACTTTTACTAGAACGTTTGGACCTCTCAGTTGACGGCTTGTCAAGCATCATGACAGTGCTGCTGCAGTCGCGGACTGGCTTCCTTGAAGAAATTAAAAGCTTCATTCCTGACATGGCCTAATTGTCAGTAGTCTAGGCGCCCCTAACAAACCAGGACGTTTTGAGCCCTGAATTGAGAGCGCAATTTTCTGTAAGGAATCAACATCGCATATAGTTTCGTCTCACACCTGAGTGAAAAAGAATGAGAGTCTACTGCATTGCATCGCCCAGGTAGGCTTCGCTCGTTCGAGCTTGAACAACGAACTTGTTGCGATGCAGGTGCTTGTTGCGGTGGAAAATTATGGTGTCCTAGGAAACGAGTTGTCTATGGCAAGAGATTTGCCCGCGGCTCAAGTGGAATCTTTGGAGCTTCTTTTTAGGGCTATGACGAACACTCTGTGAGTCCAGTCATCTTCATCGCAATATGATTCTCTGTTGATTTTCTGCACGGTTTATCTCAGCTGTTGACATTGACGTGCATTTTTCTTCTCTTAGTACATATATCACAACTCGAATCATAAGTTTTGTTTCTGCGTTGGACATTGCAGGAGTGACTTGAGCCGAGTCGTAGCCGCCTTGGAGAAAGTCTGGCGTGATGGGTGTCAGCTACTTAAAGCTGAAAGGCAGCAGCCTACCGCCTCTCAAATGCAGCAGAGGGTAGGGCCGAGGCCCAGTCTTCAAGATTGTGTCAATGGTCTTCACACTTTGTACCAAATGCATTTTGACGAGTAAGTTCCATCTTTGGGTTGTCTCGACGTGCCGGGCAAGCAGGATTACTTAAAACTGACAGTGGTCTCAAGGAATTGCATGACTTGACAGTGTTTTATGAAGACGGTGCTTGCCCAGCTAGCTCATACACCTAATCACCGTTTCTTCCTGACAGGTATAATCTGAAGGTTGCAATTGTGTCTTCGCTAACCTATGGATCGAGGTGAGTAGTAGCATCTACCTCTTCCGAGTCGCATCTCCACTCTTCACTCGTTACCTCATAATTGTCGATTGAGTGGAGCGTGTGCCTTTGCAGGGGAGAGGATGTGAGTGCATTGCAGACTCTGTTGGTTGATCAACCAAACATTCCTTCAACGGAAGGTATAGTATATGAGCTTTTCCTTTCTGTACTTCTCGTTCGTTTGCTGTTGTCCACTTTTGGTCATTACCTCTCTTTCGGCAACTAGAAATTATAAAATGCCGTAAAGGAGACTGCAAGGTGGCTTTTTTATAGTCTTGTCCAGTGTTTGGATTCAAGGTCAATATGACCACGCAATTAGCCATCTGATATAAGTATTGTGCCTCGCATTCGTTTGCAGTGCGGTACATATTCGATCTCATTGATGGAGGGGAAGGAAAGTGAAATTGATATGGACAACCCGAAACTCGACTCCTCATTACAAAACTCTGCATCGTGCCCTGACACGCCTTTCGGCTTCGACATTCTCTCCACCCTACCTGGACAATTATAAGCAAAGGGTGCTTATGTTCGAATGTGGGAACGAGCAAATAGCGGTCAGGAATCCGCCTTGTTGCTGAACTCTGCAATGTGCCCTGACACGCCTTTCGGCTTCGACATTCTCTCCACCATACTTGGACAAATGGTTGGCACAATTGTAGCAAGTTGGAGATGGCAGCTGCTGCCTCCTTAATCAGTTCCAGCTTTGAAACCACCTCAAAGTCTCTCTGCCACATACGTTCTCTAATTAGCTGCAGTGTAGACTAATGTATGATGTGTTGCCGTCTCTCGCCCATCAATTTCTCCCATTTTTAAGGCCCTAGGAGAGGGCCTTTGAAATCGTTGTCCCGTCACATGTACAAAAAGGAATACAAATTAATCGAATTATAATCAGTTTGGCATGTGGACGCCCAATGGATTTGTGAGTGTTGCCAGGCAGAGACTCTTATACAAGAAACTTTAGAATGGAAAGACTTTTATCTTCAACATTTTTTTCCGGAAGCTCATGTGGAGATTATCTAGTAAGAATGGTTACAACGATTTCACGAGTAACCTGTGTGATAGGTACATGTCAAAAACCATTTCCACATGATGGTGACTCTTCTTGTTCACTAAAGAATCGAACTGTCTTGATGTTTGCAACAAGCAACACCACGCTTCGTTGGTTTATTCACGTAATTGCGACCTTCAACCTTTCGTCGTCTTCTTTCCTGGCCGAGAATGAAGGTCATACTGGCCTCGAGATGTCTCAGCATCCTTTTGAGACTCTGTCGGCGATTAGTATAGGATGCGTAGTCATGTGCAGGAGTCCAAGATGGAGGAGTGTGTGTTTCCCTCAAAATCTTCTTCTCGTTTATCAGATTAATTTGTGAGGGAGCATGGCAGGAAGACGTCGAGCAATTTTCGAATGGTGTATCGAGAAGCAAACAAGGGGTCTGGCACGCAGCTCCTCCTGGTGTCTCAGGGGCAGATGTGCAGAGGGGAGAATCACTTTGCTCTGCAGCTTCACATTCCAGCCGACCCGCTGCTGCTTTCCTGCATTTCGTCAGTTAGTACAAATACTTCCATTAAGTCTCCACACAGATCCAGGCCATCTGTAAGGAAGTTCATTTAATTTGCAATATGGAATTGGCTGAAGCTGGACTTGCAGTCTATGTCTTCGAGGCACGTCGGTGGGCTCGGAAACGATAGCAAGAAACAGACGGGCAGAGCTCGTGGAAGAAACTCACAAGGTGGCATCTGGTCCCGATGGTGGTCGCCAATGTCGACCCTTGCAGACTCTCTTTCGGCGAGGATCGAAAAATTCAACCTTTCCTGGCTTATCTTTGATCAAGCAACACGAAGGTACTCTATGCAAAGTACGTGAGACTGGAGAGCGATGGTTAAGCAGGCGCCGAATCTCCTTCTGGATAATGTCATACTCCACTTTCGGAGCTTGTCCCACGTGACAGTCGAAGACGTTATTTCCGCACTCGAGTTCCTTCTGTACTTTGCGCACCAGCTTCAATACCGAGCCCACTCCTACTTCTGGATCCAGTCTCAAGAAGAGCTCTGCTAGGCAGCCAAGCAGAGCCGGTCTTAGTACATTGCGCAGGATGGTCGATTCTGTAAAACCTTGCTATATCGGAAGTAAACCACTTGCAAGAACGGAAGTGTTCATGCAGCAGCGGTGGCATCTCATTGAAGAGTTGTGACTTCAAGTGGACCTCACCTGAAAGGGAGCCAATCATCCAACCCAAAGCTGCTTTTCTCTTGAGGTTGGCATTCTCCATCTCTAGGCTTTTTCTTCTTCTTTCCTGCATCTTTGTCCGATGATAAAACAAATCATCCTTCCGTTGGAGCTCTTCCCGCAAATCGTTCAATTCAGCATCTAGTTCCTTCGAATGATCGATGACAGCCAGCCACAAGACAATCCACCGCCCAGATTCTGAGTTCGTATGCATGTCATGCCTAGGTGTAAGTAACAGTCACTGACCAGAACGAGCAAGAACTTAGATGTCACGAACTGCAAGAGTGCATTCGGTCGACACGACCACCCGTGGTGTGCACATTTGAACTTCTGGTATGCCAAAATGCAAGCTGTGAACCAGAGGAGCGAAGCTTGGTGCCTGTGAGCAATTTCAGCCAATGCAATCGCAGAGCTTGAGAGCCGGACGGTGCATGAGGCGCAAAAGGAGATCGTAGTCGGTCCCATGTACCTGTAGCCTCTTCTGCCCCTTCTTGAGAAGCTTTTCGGTTCTTTTGTGTTCGTCTTTCAGTTGTTCCATGGCTCGCTGCGCCTCCCACTCCCTCTTCTGCCTCTGCTCCTCTTGCGATATGTGCTCCTGAAGATGAGCCCTACAACCGCCTTCGAGCTCATTTTTGAGTTCGCTGTTTTCTGCTAGAAGTTGGGCTTCTCTGTCCTCAAATTCGAGTCGCTGCCGGTCGAAGGCCAGCTCCATGGAGTTTAGGTACTCGAGCAGCTCCGCGCTCTTCTTCTCATACTCGTCGATTATGTCTTGTCTCAAGCATGCCACTTCATAGCGTTCTTTGTCCAGAGCTGCCGTCTTCTGATTCAGCTCCTTCCGTTCCAGTCGTTCACCGCTCCCGCAATCCCTCAGATTAGGGTTCTTCAAGTGCTGGTGCCCCACGCACTTGTTCTGCACAGCTCTCTGCGATTCCAACCGATCCCGTCCCATAATTCGTTCTCATTATTCAAGCGATGCACCTCCGACTCTCGGGCCCACTTCACGGGCCGACCGCTCGGACAGCCCCCACGACGGAGCTACGAAAACGCGACCAAAATGCAAGAGGAATTTTGGTGGGGGAGGCGAGGAGAGACTACCACGCAGTGCTTCATGGCAACGACACGATGCTCAGGCTCTCGAAGGCCACACCTCACAGCTCACGAGGAGACGAGGCAGACCGATCCTGCAACCATGGCCAGGACTCGGAGAATGTGAGCGCAATGTCGCAGGAGCCGAATGCATGCTCATCCAAAACGCAACAAGAAAGAATGAACGGATGCAAGAAAGCGAACGGACGAGGAGGGGAGCGCAATGAAGTACATCTTGCGGGGAGGGACGGGGTGCCCGTCGTAGCACGAGCGACACACAGTTCGACGATCGTTGTCAATCATGATCCTCGTCCGCGAGCTGGAAATTGCGGATGCTTCGGCTGCGTCCATTAAGCGAGGCGACTCGATCTCCGGCTCTGGGACCGCCGGAGGCCGACTGACTCATGCGCACGTCCCTTCGACAGTCCGGACTGTTGTGCGACGGTTGCAGCCGCAGCCGCGCGCGCGCACAATAGCATCTCGTCTGATCCGTTACCGCCCGCACAGTCCACGACCAAGACGACGACGACGACGATGGCCCCGAGACCACAGTCTTCTCCTGTCCTGTCCTGTCCTGTCGTGTCCTGTCCTGTCCTGTCCGCGCATGCATCGGAATTGCTCGATTTCGCCATCATCCAGCTGCACAATTCGCGAGTCGAATCGCTGGGACCCGAAGGTGGGTGACTGTCGAATGTCAGCACTCGCGGTTCATGGATGCCTCTGCTCGCGGCGAGTGGGCTGTACCTCAATTCTGAATTGAACTGACGGAGTGAATGGGGAGTTCCTCCCTGGGCTCCGTACTCGGGTCCTGCACATGGATCGACCTGAACACGGATTCCACGCAGCAGCCAACGCATTCAGCACATACATTCAGCTCCAGATCCGTATGGTACATCGATTGTGCTTGCAGCGGTCGGTCGAACTGAACCGCTCCGTGGCGACTGGCAGTTAGCATTATCACGGCACCAGTGTTCAGGTCTGTATTAGGTGGGGTCATGTCAGAATCAGAAGCCGCCAATCTACGGACTCCATCGTGGTTGATGAACTGATTCGGGTACTTTGATACAAATAGCAAAACCGAGGTGCGTGAGGAAGGAAGCTCGGAAGCTGGATCAGGACTTCGGGCATGTGCACTGCAACTCCCTCGAGTTGGCGATTGATGGCGAGCCAGATGAGATGCGAGTTCCAAGTCGAGTAGGGTGGGTGGTGTTTCGAGATTCGATCAAAAGAAAGATCCACGTGAGGTTCTTCACGACCTCTATAGCTCGAGATTCTCCACTCGAGGAGTTAGGATCCAAGGATCGCATTTTTCATAGTTCTCCATGGTTCAAAGAGAGAAGACGGCATTTCTGTTAATCACCAGGTCCTGCGACCAGCCATAACGCCGTTGGCAGAAAAACTCACGGGAAGCACGTGCTGCTGGCTTAACCCCTAATGCATCGACATTCCCCAGAGACGAGACGAGACGAGAATAGAAGATTGTTGGGCAATCTACCATTGTGATTCATCAAGGACATTCATACGCACGCAGTTGAAATTGACTCGAGATGTGAGATTGAATTTTGCGTTTATTACGATACAGTGGTCACGTAGACTACAGGCATGATACTGGCCTCTCGACCGATCGAGCTATCTGGACAAGGTGGCCGGACATCTCCAGCTCATCTGTGCCCATCTTTGCCTTAGGATCGATCGGTACAATGCTCCAGCTCAAACTGAGGATAAAGTACAGCTATCTCTGGATCTGATCACTGCTCCGATTCAGCACGACACTAAAACACAGCCATCTCCGGATATGATCTGATCGAGTTGATCAGAACAAGGAACGGAGCGAGCTCATGCCTCATCTTCGAGCAAGTTCGAAGTGTCACGTCGTCGTGACGCTGTGAGTCGCAGACGATTATACAAACAGCGACGACTTGGATCTGCTGATGGGCACGTATGGTACAACGAGCTCCTCGTCAAGGATCACGGGTCATGCATGACACTGTCCGATCAGCTCTCTCTGCACTGGAGGGGACATGACATGCCAGACTCCGAGGCGACCTGCAAAAAGTAAATCACCGGCGTTGCAGTTCCAGACGCTGTCAGCACGAGAGCAAACTCGGACGATGGAGACGTGATTAGAACCCGTGAACAAAATGCCTACGGTTACGTCTATAGACAAGACGTCTGATTTCAGACATCTGAAATCACTTAGCGTTTCCTCCTCCTGGTTGAGCTCACGCGGTACGTACCTTAGTAGGCCGGGGGAGTCGGAGCCTCGTATGTGGGTGGAGCCTCGTATGTGGGTGGAGCTTCGTATGTGGGTGGAGCTTCGTACGTCGGTGGTGCTTGATAAACAGGTGGCGATGGGGTGACGACCGGGGGTGCTTCATAGACAGGAGGAGATGGAGTGACGTACGCTGGTGGGGAAGGAGTGTAGTATGGGGGTGCTTGATACACGGGAGGAGATGGAGTTACGTAGACCGGTGGTGGTGGAGATTTGTACTCGTACACGGGAGGTGGTGGAGATTTGTACTCGTACACGGGAGGTGGGGGAGAGCTGTAAACGTATGCGGGAGGGGGAGGAGACTTGTAAACGTAAGCGGGAGGGGGAGGAGATTTGTAGTAATAAGCAGGAGGGGGTGGAGATTTGTAGTAGTAAGCGGGAGGAGGTGGGGATTTGTAAACGTAAGCTGGAGGGGGAGGAGATTTGTAGTAGTAGGCGGGAGGAGGTGGGGATTTGTAGTAGTAGGCAGGAGGTGGTGGGGATTTGTAAACATAAGCCGGAGGGGGAGGAGATTTGTAGTAGTAGGCGGGAGGAGGTGGGGATTTGTAGTAGTAGGCGGGAGGAGGTGGCGATTTGTAGTAGTAGGCGGGAGGAGGTGGGGATTTGTAGTAGTATGTGGGAGGAGGTGGGGACTGGTAGTAGTATGGCGCAGGAGGAGCTGCCACCAAAAGACCACAATGTCATGTCAAAATGTATTCAGTACTGAACCAGAATCAGAGTCCTGCAAGTCAAAGGATAATGACATGCTACATAAACTGGAACGTCGAACTAGTGAGAGAGAGAGAGAGAGGAAGAGGGAGAAAGAGAGGCTAATACTCAGACTGCATTCATCTTCATGTAGAATTGACCCGTTGACAACTATCTGAGAGCACTGTTGTACGTACCTTGGCACTTGAGGACGGTGCCCTTGGGGTAATACTTTCCACACTTCTTAGCCAAGCCCAAAGCTTTCTTCAGGTCGACCTTGAAGCTGAACTTGGACTGCGCAGCCTTGCAGAGACAGTCCAGGCTTTCCTGTCTGATGTATTTGCAGCACGGTGAGAGCAGCTTGGGGTACAGCCAGACCGGTGTCCAACCTGGTTTCACAAAGGAATAGCAAGTTTTGAAGTCAGCCACTGGGGCACATTGCGCATAATTCTTCTTTCCTCCTGTTGCAACCTGGAAGTTCTCGCTTCCTGCTGCGGTCGTCGTCAGAACTGTAAGTACCACGAGGCTCAAGGCCAGGGTTTGCATCCTCATCGATCCCATCTTCCTGTGTCACCTTCTCTGACACTCGATGAGTGAAGGTCTGTTTCCTTCACTCTTCTACCGGAGCTTATATACTCCTTTGAAGTTGAGCTGACTACCTAAGGGACTCCGTTGCGGACGCTTCATGCTGGCGGCTACTCAGATAACGACAGGTCGAGTTTCTCGTACTACAAGTTGTGACTTACTGTCAAGCAGTTGACTCCCAACACTCTTACAGCTAGCTAGAAGTAAATGCAGCAGGAGTCCACGTACATCAACTCTTGTCTAGGTTGTGATAGACTCTGAGATCATGGATGCATTTAATATCCTCTCAGGTGTGCTTTTCTGACAAATTTCTGTACGGGAGAAGATCTACATAGTAACCACATTGTTCGCCTCCCCTTTCTGAGGAGTCTGTCTCATTCGGACGATATAACTCGAAGGAGATCCAATTATTCTACCCTTTAGCTAAAAGGGTAGAATAATACTCCGTTAAAAGGCAGGCTGCACGCCCCAGCTTGCCTGCCGTGCATTAGAATGCCTTTCTGTGTAGTGTATAGAACGGAGAATGTTTTGAACAAGCTCTATTCTCTTCCCGTAGATATCTCTAGGAGCCTACATTATCAAGAGCTGGTCGAGCATATCGATGGCAATATGACAAGAATTTTCCAAATGTTCCAACATTTTATTCACGGAGAATGTTTTGAACAAGCTCTATTCTCTTCCCGTAGACATCTCGAGGAGCCTACATTATCAAGAGCTAGTCGAGCACATCGATGGCAATATGACAAGAATTTGCCAAATGTTCCAACATTATATTCACGTCATCTGATTTCTCAACTTCTTCTGATTTGTCTGAGTTAAGTTTGCTTCATCAGCCGAAACCTCTCAACACATGAACAAGCCAGTACTTGTCCTGACTATGAAACGAACCCCAGACGAAAGGTCACGTGCCGTCTTCGATTTGTAGGTGTCTCACAGCAAATAGCCACTAGTAGATCAGCTGAAATTCCAGAAGCTGGAATTTTAGCTGGAATTTTAGCTCAGTCCTCATTTTGAAACGTTCTAGCCAGCGAGGACAGTCGCTGAACTCAACTTCCCTACACATCTAAAGTTTCGAAGAATTTTGCTTTCGGATCTCAGCGTTGAATTTTTCTCAACTGTAGATAAATGGCAAACGACAGGCAGTGCTTTTACTGAAGCAGTTCGCAATACATTTACGCCCCGATTTGTCCCAACCAAACCTGTATTGAAGACTGAAGTATGCTGAAGAGTCTCTGCAGAATGGGATTGGAAAATAGTGGAGACGATTAACAAAAGACCTCGTCACCTCAAAAGGAGCCACTAGCATATGCATAATACAACGGGGCTGAACGAGAAAAGCCATCCAGCGGTGGGCATATCGTCCAACAATGTTAGGACACCTACTGCACTGTGCCTAGAATGGCGTTTTGAATGGAGACGAAATCTGCTGTCAGTCGGCAACAATTCGTCGTGAAGAGTTCTTTGAGAAGAGCTCAAAATATCTACGAGCCATATCCACACGACTGGACTCAACTCACTGGAAGTCCAGAGCAGACCGACCCGATCCGACCCGACAACGGCACCCGGCAGGCATGGCTGAGAATTGCTGTTCCAGTACTTGCTCGCCGGTATGACTGTTCCCGAGAGATTAATTTGGCAAGGTGGCGGTTCCACTGATGCCGAGTCGACGTCGACCGACAACCAAATGTATCGTGGATCCTGTAGTGGACAGGTGATGGACCATTCACAGCACGCAAAAATGGATCTTCTCTACCTCCGAGGACAAAGTAAACGCCATGGGCCCAAACTTGCAGGCTTTGCAGTACGTGGGATTTATTAGAGCGGACTTTGCTCAAGGTCAGCTCCGGCCTTTAAATGCTGGCGCCCGTGCCTTGCGCTTATCCTTCTGCGCCTGATCTCGGTGTCAGCAGACATTTTAGGAGAGACCGAGCAAGGGCCAGCGAATCCTGGAAGATCTTTCGCCTTTTCTCCGATGGCGTTTGGAAACTGAGGAGCCTGTTGGACTTGTAAATCCGATACCCAGAGATAGCGATCAGACCTGGAACACGAGTGTCTCTTCGAGCTCAGAATGTGACCAGTTCATGCCCATTGCATAACTGTCATCCACTATGACAAAACTATGGCCTCATCGCGGACCACCCTCAATTCTGAACAACTGCAAGGGTTGAGGGCACCATGCGAGCGACTCTCCACTTTGCCTCCTCGTTGTCGTCATTCACATCCATTGACAGGAACGCAGCAGGAGGCACTGCAGCTCCTGATTTGAACCGGAAACCATATACGCGGTATTCTTCACAAAGAGACCAGGACAAGTGACAGTCTATCGAGACAGGACTTCTTAATTGAAGATCATAATTATTGTTGATTTGTTTGTATCTCCCCGCTACCGACAGGAAAATAGCTGGAATTGACACGAGGTTATACTGAACCACACTCCATGAGATGTAACCTCTACGTGGCAAACTTCGCATCTTAGCGATATGTACGTGATAACTAAGGTTACGAGCGGTGGCAGCAGGAAAATGGTTACAAGTATGCTTTCAAATTTCATTATGATCCCGAGTCCCGACCTCTGGACGGACGGAATCTCTCAAGCATGAAGTCGTGAAGCATGTTCCATCTCTTAAGTTGAGGACGAAAGCATGCAGGGGTCATGCCACATGCATCATAATCTCTCTCTAATCACCGTTCCTCTTCCCCAGCTGGATCAAGAAGCCCAGCCATTCAACATCACTGGATTTAATTAAAAAAAAATCAGGATGGCGAGCCTCCAGGTCTCATCGTTCAAACTGTTTGAAGAGACATGATTCGAACTTGCATCAGGGCGAACGCAGTGCCATCTTCTTGCCCTGGAGGGCACTGCGTTGCTGCGTCTAGAAGCTTCAGGACATAGCGGCTGGGCTTGTCGCGCAAGTAATGATCTCATTGGCAAGTTGTAGCCTCCGTCAAAACCGGTTCCAGCACTTCGTCTCCTCCAGGAAAAAATAATAGTTACTCCGTGCATTTCATTTTATCTTTGTCAAAGTCGTGCGCGCACTCAGCTATCTACAGCATCACTCTGACATGAACATTGCCAATTAAACTCGAACGGTGATCGGCAATAGTTTCTCTTCTATTGATCATGAAGACGGCTCGGGCTATAGTCGTGTTGCAGAGACACATAGTCATGTGCAAGCACAGTCATCAGAGCAGGTACCAAATTGATGCGATGAGAGCATGGTTCACTCCAGTACGGCGTTGCATGCAAGTCTGAAGGTTCGACATCTGTTTGAACAGGAAAATATTGACATGCCATTTCCTCTTGAAAGCTTGAAGCGCTGTGGCAGAACCTTCAACCATTTATGAATAAGATTCTCACCAACTCCCAACTTCTATCTTCCATAGGGACAGACATCGGGGCAAGATTTACTCCCCCTGTAATCTTGTACTATGATAATTTTGAGCTCTTTTCACCTCGAACTAGTTTCATGGATTCACGTGCAATGATATGAAGAGTATAACATTTTGAATGTTTCCAACGAGGTGGAATTGAACCCAGATCCATCCTCATAAACACAAGGTTCCAACTGACGCGAAGAAGGCCCTTGGAAAGCATCCAATTATTCTACTTTATTCTACTGTCAAATGTATAAAGAAACTATTTTGGCGTCCGATGGCACGGACGTCGATAAAGTTCTTTGTCCTTGGTGCCCCGCTCTGATAAGCTCTCGTCCTCGTGCAATTATCCCGGGTCCAAGTGCGTGGAGTCAACGTCGCCTCCCTTCCCCTTTCCCTCCCTCTCTCCCGACCTCCCACGGGAGGTACTTGAACAATTTGTCAAGGAAATGAAGGGATTACAAGGAGTCAGATCGTCTGACGAGGTTCCAGTTTCCACGAATTTTCTTCTGTCAAAAGTCCACTGCAGCGCAGCACAGTGACTTTCTGGCAAGCACCACAGCTCGAGAACTTTCATCATCACCGCTACTCTAGCGTCTCATAGAGGGATGCAACTTCTACCTGATGATTGATTGACCCACTGCAAGCGTAAGGCAAGGCAGATTGACAGCCTTCGGGCGGGCGGGCGGGCGTGCGTGCGATGGCTGCTGGAGTCAGCGGCAATCGTCGCAGTTTTTATAAGTCCCATTACTGGAGAGGTCCAGAAATTATCATGATGGCTTAATTCAGCTCACTGGCAGCGATCAGCTGCGTTTATATTTCCTCGAATATGTTGGCACCCCTCGACGATTGTGAAAGAAAATCGAGGTCACCTGTCACTCCGAAATCACTTGAACTAGCTCGATCCCGAGTCCAGTGAACAAAAATCTTAGCTGTCGATCCAAAAGAACTGCGAAAGCTATGCACTGCAATTGCTGGCAGGAGTCGTAAATTCAAGACTCGTGAACGTCTTCTCCAGCTTGTAAACTGCTCACTGATCCTCGTAATTATTTGGATGAGAATGCGAGATAGGAATGCCGTGACTATGTCTTCTTCCCTCGAAGAGAGAATTATGGTGGAAGACAGAAGGGCACGACCGAGTCTCAAGCCTACGCATAGCAGATGCGACGCGATGGCATGGCCATGGTTTTCTACCGTAAAAGCATAGCCGAACCTTTGAAGCACTTTGTGTCACCCAAACTGGATGGGCAGAGATCGATGGGTGTTTGTCTGTCTCATCTAGGGGAAACATCAAAACCTTAAGGGGACGACACTTTATGGTCACTGGCATTGGGAAGGAGCCCAGGTCCCTTCACACACAGAGACGATGGACTTCGATCGAGAGTGCACAAAGTCCACGGTGATCGCGCTCTCTCTCTCTCTCTCGATCCACGAGAAGATGGAGAACCTCATCCAGTCTTCCCAGTTCATCCGCCATGGGCTCGTTCATTCTCGTTTGACACTCGCGAAAAAGGTCCCTCCAGTCTCTGTTGAAATTCCGGCTCTGACGACATGCGTTTGCGCTTGAGTTTGAGCCCTTTTTCCCGAGCGGCATGGAAGGATGTGGAGGTCCGGAGACGCGGATCTCGAGCCTTTTCGTGGGTCCGG